TCATCCATCTCAAGGTATGGGCCATACTGTAGTTGTTAAAAAACTTTTTAATGTTATGTTTCTTATTTGAATTATATTATTTAACTCTGGACTTATTTACTTTGAAATTTCTGTGTAAGGTTTCGTATAAAAAGGCAGGGTTAGGGTAAAAACTTGGTGGTGGAGAACGGATTAATCCATTTTCAGTTATTTCTTATGGGAAAAATTGATTCGGAACTCGACTGCATCGCATCTCGATGCTCCTTAGAAGGGATTAGCATCCAGGTCCCGGGTCCTACTATATATGAGTCAGAATCTATTCCAGGGCAGTGGGAAGGCAACAGGTAGGTCTTGCTACTGTCTCCTAATCCCGCCCCCTCCAGGCCGTTGCCTGCACTGCAACCTGTCACCTTTCTAAGATGGTCTGGACTCTTATTTTACTCTAAAGTGCGGTTCTAGGGACACTCCACTGCCATTTCTGGTTTCCCCTCGCCAACTGGCCTCCCAAGTTCTGGACTCTCACCATCTCAGACAGAATGAGAGCATTCACGTAGCAGTGAGCCCAGTGGCTGTACTTGGGGAGGCAGGCTCCCAGCCATCATACCACCATCCTCTCTCCGTGTCCCCATCTGTGGGGCTGGAAGCTGCCCCAGGCTCCGCTCTGCCCAATCTCCTTCAGGATGTCCTGGGAGGGTCCCCAGGCCCAGGGCAAAGCAGAGACTCCTTAGTGGGGCCCTTGTTTCTTTGTGTGTGAGGAAGGGCTGAGTTGGGAGACAGGGCACACAGGCACAGGGAATCCTCCCAGGGGCTGCTCTTGTGCTGGGTACGAGGCACAGCCCCGCAGAGTGGTTTTGTGCAGGCAGGATTGGGTAGTAGAACAAACATGGGCACACTGCACCCTGGACACGGCTCCATCCTCCGCACCCGTCCCAGGAATACATCAGGGGGCTACTGGGGAGAAGAGAACTGGGGCGGGTGGTGGTGGTGGTGGAGGGGGCGGAAGCAGGGGCCCCAGCCCGGGGTCTGAATTCCCTGAATCTCTGGGCACTGCTCCCTGAGCACCCTGGACTTCATCAAGCACTGCCAACACCAAGTCCCCTCCCTTCCTTGGGCTTTCCGGCCCACAATGGGCCTTGTCCAGCAGGGCACACCCTGCCCAGGCTGCTGGGCTTCAGACAGAGGGCCAGGAGGGCGTGGGGGGGGCATGCCTTTCATCAGCTAAGGAAGGGCCCCGAAACACGGCAAGGAAGAGCAGCGAAGTTTGATGTGAGTTGCGCAGCTGGAAAGATCTTTCCAGAAGTATAGCCTTCTTCATGGCTATCAGTCCTTCTGCAGAAGATGAATCTAAGAGTCCCCCCAAGAGTTGAGGAAAAACACCTCTGTAGTCAGGAGACAATGGCCAAATAGCTCCGAACCTCTTGGGGCAATCTGAGTGCCCTTGAAGTGCTTCTGTTTCGAGCAGCCAGCAACCCTGGCCGGCAACAGTGTCCGGAGACACCTGGGCCCTTCTCTGAGGGTCACTTGCCCAGGTGCTGCGTGTATGGGCCCAGGAGCCTCGGTTCTGAGTGAGGCTGTCCACCTCAGGTGAGCGATTTGCGCTCACCAGCTTGTCCAAGGGAGAAAGACGAAGCTTTCTGCCCCTGCAAGACCGACAGCCTTGGAAACCACGGGGGCAAGTCTACTCGGTCTTATACATTCGCTCTGAGTCAGCCCTGACTCAACGCCCTGAGTTTGGTTCGGGGTATGGCGCTGGGAGACCAGGGTTGGAGTCTGCGTTGCATCAACGCTACATGTGATCTGCAGGAGGGAGGGGCCCTGGTGAAGGTCAGTGCCGGGCTGCTAACAGGAGAGCTGGCAGTTCAAACCCAGCGAGCGGCTCCATTGGCGAAACACTTGGAGGAGGGCAGCAGCAGGCACTCAAGGTACGAGACAGAATCTTTAGAAACTCTGGGGCAGTTCTACTTGGCCACACGGGCGAATGCCAGGCATCAACAAAACAACCCTGCCACGAAGGCTCCAGGAGGGCAACGGGAGCCGCGAACACAGACCAGCATGCCTGTGTGATAAGTGGGTGAAGTGCCAATGAAACTCTTTAGAAACCAACCCCGCCCCCTAGGATTCCTGAATGATTAAACACTTTAAAATAACATGGAACCAAGCACCAGAACCCTCAAGACCAGCTCCCATCGGTGAACAGACGACCTTCCGGCATCAACAGCCACTGACTCCATTTGACGTCATAGCTGGTGGCTCAGGCAGGGCCGGCGTTCACTCCAAGTTCACGGATGAGGAAATGGGGAGGAGGTGGGGAGAGTTAGAGCGAGAGCCTTCAAGCTTCAGGGCATCATGACTGACTGATTATGTTTCTTACGTTGGGATAAATCAATTCTACTTTTTGTTTGTGACACGTACAATCGGGTGACCTGGCTAATCAGTCTTCACCAAGGTCACAGACGTCTCTTCAGGGCGGCTAAATGCTTGCCGTCACTCCCACACCGACTGCCATCGAGTGGGTTCCCACTCAGTGACCCTTCAGGACAGGGTGGAACTGCCCCTGGGGGTCTCCAACACTGAGTAGAAAGCCCCACCTTTCCCCCAGTGCTCACCACGGGCTACCACAACTCTGCAGTGGCAGTCTCTTGGGTGGTCTCACTTTGTCTGTGGTGTGGATGAGCAAGGTGAGGGGTAGAGATGGGAGCCCTGGTCCCGAGGCGGAGCTGGGGAGCGCCTGCAGCCTGTTACTCCTAACTGCGTCTGGGTGGTGGCGATTGGGCTGGCTCCTGGTCAGGGGACAAAGGGAGCTGGGCAGCCTCACTGAGAGTCTGTGCAGGACAACTGGGAGACGCGGCGAGTAGGAGGCACAGCCCTGGCCTGCCACCCAGGCGGGGGCATACAGAGGCGGACAGGGCACGGTTTGCAGTGGGACAATCCCAGCTCTGGAGCGCCCGGGCGGAGGAGGCCTGCTTCATGCGCCTGGGATTCCCTGGTAGAGCAGGGCTTCAGGGAGACTTGGAAGACTGGCCTTGTACTTTCAAACAGCAGACTACAAAACCTCACGAAGCTGACTCGTCTGATCCCCAACGGGCCTGGGGCTGGCAGAGGGCCGGGTAGTGCTTTATTTCATGTGTAGATGTTAACCGTGGTGGTGGTGGTGGTTCTTTTCTGGACACACACACACAACCCCCCCAACACACATATACACACACCCGCACTAGGCAACACTTGCCAATCATGAGGTTCAGCCATCGGCACTCCAGGAATTCACTGGGGCAGGCTGGGCTGGGTGGGCCAGGGCAGGCTCTGAGTGAGGGTGTGCGCTCAGCTCTTTGACGGAGGGCAAATGGAGCCCGTGGGGAATTCAGGCAGCCAGCAGGCTTCACATGGAAACCGTGGCCAGCACCTCCTTCACCCGGGGAGCCAGATCCTCTCTGCTCCCCCAACCCCGTGGACAGCTGGAGGCTGTGAAGACATGCCATTGGCAATGCTGCCGGTGCACAAGGTCACCCGGCATTTGGGGGGCTTTCAGTGGTCTGGGAGGGCAAGGCAGGACAGGGTGGGTGGTGATGCTGAGCTGGGGGCGGATGGGGAAGGGCCGTGGGCTCTGAGTGAGTGAGGGAGAGAATGAACTACTGACGCCAGGCAGGAAGTCGATTTTCTATGAAGGAAGAGAACTGCTAACAGTGCCAGATGCCACAGGAAGCTGACAATATAGACTGCAGGGACCACTGGCTGTCACTGGTGCCCAAAGTGCTGGCACTGTGTGTTCGGGGAAGAGGTGTGTACGACACAGTCCCTGAGTCCAGGTTTCCTGTAACCACACAAACCACTCTCTGTGTCCCACTTCCAGGTGAGCACAAGCAGGGCTGCCCCATACAGGCTCCACAGACACAGCGGACAGAGGGAATGGGCAGTGGAGGGCATCTAGAACATGAACAGCCCGGGGTATTTTCTGGCAAGCCCAGAGCCTTGGATGTGAAAATCTGAAGAGGGTAGTTCTGGCTACTAATCAGAAGGTCAGCGGTTCAAATCCACCAAGGGCTCTGAGACAGAGAGGACCAGGTCACCCGTGAAACTCTCTGGGGAGCTCTCATTCTGTCCTGTGGGGGCCACTACAGGTCTGCACAGACTCAGAGGCATACGGCAATTCAGGGGTGCTCCAAGACAGGAGCCATGTCTTTTACCCCAATTGCTTTTGATTTATCAAAATGGCCAGCACTCACCATGGCCTATAGAAGCTGTTCTTCAAACCTGCCTCAACCCCCTACCGCCTCCCTCCGCCCCAGGCTCGCCTGAGGATGAAGCTGCCGCCCTTCTGTCGCCATAAATAAAACCACTCCCCAGCTAGATGGGCAGAGTTAATGCCTCTGTTGGCTCTGCCAACAAGGTCGGGGTTACTGTGCCAAGCGAACAGCCTGGACTATCCCATTGACATGAAATTGTATTTCTACGCAGTTTTTTTGTTATGAGAAGATGGGTCGATGCCTTTGATACGCAGGGTGGGCCTTTCACGGGAGCAGAGGGAACAGAAACGAAATGGTGTGGAGGCGTTTACGAATAAAGCACATAACTTTATTCATGGTGTGGCTCTGGGTACACCAGGGATGCAGAGTACAATGGTGTCAGAGTACGGCGGGGGCAGCGGCGGCTTGCGACTGGGGTGGCGTGGGCAGGTGGGGGGCCTGCAAAGCACAGCAAGCTGGAGCCTGGCCGGCCCCCTCCTCCTCTGCAGACAAGCACGTGGCACTCTGGGTACAGACAGACAACCAACCACTCAATGTTCACGGGGACACGAAGGCTTTTACCAAGAGGGTCTTCCAAACATTTGCTTTTGGATTTGGGGAAGGGTGGGGGGAGGGGGACGCGAGGGGGAGAGAACAGTAGGCCTTCCACACTGGAAAAGACAAAAATCCCACAAAGCCAACTCACAATGAATGACCCCAGAGAGCGCGTTTTGGGGCTCTGTTGTGGGGGATTTACAGAGACCACACCTCTGGGGCCCATGAAGGGTTCTCAGGAATGGGGACAATCGATGGTTTACTCCTCTGTAAGGTACAGCAACGTATGCACACTTTGAGGCTCTGTTACAGAGACCACACCCCTGGGGCCCACGAAGGGTTCTCAGGGTTGGGGACAATCGATGGTCTACTCCTCTGTAAGGTACAGCAACGTATGCAAACATAGTCATGGCACGGCTCGCCCCTTTATGAGTTGTAGACTGTCCCCTCCCTGGCCGGGGCTGAGAGTCTAGGAAGTCCCACTGAAGGCGGGCAGCCGGCAGGCACTCAATGACAGCGAGCTGCTGATAAAGGTAGGAGTCATTTCATTTTGCTGCATGCAGAGTTTGGGAAGAGTCATTCAGCTGAAAGGCCTACCTCCCCTCTCCTCACCTGCTTATCTGAGTTGGCCGCCAATTACACTGGGCTGAGCAAAGCCCTTCGGCCAGCCTCTTCCCCAGGCCAGCTGCCAGGTCAGCGTGTCAGAGAAGGCTTGGTGTTAAGCTTGTTTTGCTAGCTGTTGTTAAAAAAGACCTACCTAAGTCAAAAGTGGTTCCTTTGAAGTGGGTGTGGGTGGGTGTTAATTTGCAAAAACACACTTATTTTATATAATCATCAGAGAAGCATTTGTTTAGAAAAAGGTGTTTGCTTCGCAGTGTAAAGAAACTAGGTGAGAATTTCAGAATCGGGACCAGCAGGACGATTCCAAAGGGGCTGTTGGATCTGACCAGCCTGAGGGGCAATGGGGAAAGCTGCAGGGCCACCTTCTGAGCCCCTGCTTCCACAGAGGAAGCTCAACGTGGGGACAGTAGTCTTTGGGGATGTGGAAAGGGAGCGAGGAGACTTCTTTTGCACCTTATTATTATCTACTGGCTCTAGCTCTGTGGCTTGGAGGTTTCAGAGAACGGGTTGTCTTTTGAGTTTTCAAAGAAGTCGCATTCGGAACACCTCATCACTCAGCCCAAGGCCAGCCGTGCGGGCTTCCCAAAGACAATAAATAACTTAGGAGGCTCCCTGGGGAGAAACTGGAAAGGAAGCCCTGGCCTTTATCCAGTCCACGGTATCTCAGGATCCAGAAGCTCGCTGCCCACAGACCTCCTTTCCAGCCTCCATCCAAGTTCACCATCCAAAGGGGCAGGGCTCACTCAGGAGATCAGCCATCTCCGATACCATGACCCACCCACTTGGAGGACACCCGTGCTGAGCCCAAGGTGACAGCACAGAGGGACACTGGGTGGGGAGGCGGTGCAGGCCGCCCCCATGCCCTGCTCCCTACCCTGGGGTCTTCTCCAGAGAGCCTACTGTGTGTTCACATGCCTGCTGCCCCCTCCCCGCTCAGCATGTTCAGCTGGTAGACGGGAGGCACCCGTGGGCTCTGGCAGTGCATTTATGTGGGTGGGCATGCCCAGTAGCTGGCATGCTCGAAAGGGAAGCAAGGCCCTCCCACCACCTCCGACCCAGCTTGGACACAGAACCGAGTTCAAGACACAAGGACCGTGGCTTCACACCAGGCAGCAGACTTTGGAAATGGCACTTCTCGGTGCCCTGTGGCCTCTTAGGCTCCCAGCCCCGCTCTCTGCTGCCTTTGGGAAGTTGATGCTCCTTTTTCTTAGTCCTGAGCCCAGGGCACAGTTCCCAGCATCAACTAAAGGCAGGCATCTTGGCCGAGCCACCTGATGGCACCCATGTTTCCCACATACCTCATTTCCCTGCGTGGACATATACTCTGCAAGGGTGGGCTGGGCTGGGTCTTCCTCAACCAGTGACCCCACCACCACCACCACCCACCATCGCTACCAGGAACAGAACCTCTCTGCCAGCCGGGTTCGGGGGCCGACTGGCCATCACTGAGGCTGGCGGTGGTAGGGAAAGACCGGTGGTCACGGCGCTCCACGCTCTCATGCTACAAACAGCTGGAAGGGCGGGGCCCCAAGGACAGGGCTCAAGAGTTTCGGGAGAGGTCAGAGAGAGGGTGAGACAGCAAAGGGAGGGTGAGACAAGAGGCAAATGGCCTATGAAGGGTTGGTGTTGCAAGCTGCAGGGGGGCTGCTCTTGTCATCTCCACGCCACCTCCAGTCACACACACACACACACACACACACACACCACCACACCCCCCCACAGCATGAGGAGGGTCCTCACTGCTCAGAGCCTGCAAAGCCATCCCAGTGTCCATCCCCCACCCCCACCCCGAGAGTGGCCCTGTGGCCAGTAGTCCACTGGCTCGTTACCACCAGCGCCGGACAGACCAAGAGCTGTCCCGATGCTGATGCTTGGTGCCAAGGGGCAGCACGCCTGGCTTCGGCCGTCGGTGATGGCTGAGGACAATTCCACGGCCTGGAGTTCCCGAGCAGAGCCAAGAGCCGGAGGATGGAGGCACCTGTGTGGACACTGTCACCGCCTCCAGCTCACTTCCTGTTCGAGTCACACGAGTTCCTTTCCGGAGTCCCACGGGGCCATCTTCGCCTGGGTGTTGGCAATGGCTGAGGCTCAGGAGGGACTCTCGAGTGGAGACCTGGTGAAATACTGAGTCCCTACACGCGCCCTGGCCTTACATCCAGTCTTCAGGCTGATCCTGGCCAGGGCCACTCTGTGAAACAGAGTGAAACAGGCAGCACAGGTGCAGGTGGCAGGTGGAGCCTCCTCTCGATCTTAGGGTCAGGTGCATTGCACCTGGGCACGGGGCCCTTTCTGAGGCTCGATATGGGGGTGTGGGGCAGACACTGAAGCAGAATCAGGACTCAAAGCACAGGCAGACTCATCCATCTCCCGTGGGTAAGTGTAACACGCACACACGCACACATGCGCACGCCTATATGCGCACACACCCACACAAGGCTCGGCCAGAGGGAAAGCTGGAGAGGCCATATCAAATCTGTTGGAAGTCATCTACCTGGAGTTGCAGGGACTGGAGGAAAAAAACAACCATGCCATTCCTTCTCCTCCCACGGAACAACCTCCACACACAAGACCAACCCTGGACAACGCTGCTGCGCAAGGGGCTGGGGTCAGAGCAGAGGACGTTAGACTTGTTTCTGGCCAAGAGTGCTCCAGGCTTCCCCAAGCAGCATGCAAGTCTGCCGGCCTGAAGGCGAGCCTTCCTGTCCTTTCTTTGAAGAGCTGGGAGCCCCCCTCACACACCGTGGTGGGGAGGGCCGGCCAAGGGTATGATCTCAAGTAGAACAGGGGTCAAGGGGTGGGGGTTCCCTTTCCTTCTCTTAACAACAGAAACCCAACAGAACCCACAAAACGAACAGATAGCGGAGTCCTTCAGCAACCCTGGCCCAGCAGACAGAAGACGACCAGGAGCTGGCCACCACCCAATTTCTGCAGCAGCTCACATGGGGCTGCCCCGCTGCAGGGCTCCATTCTGGCCGAGCCTGGGCAGGGCTGCTCCAGCCCTAAGGGAAGCCAAGTGCGGAATGGCTGTGGCGACAGGGACAGGTGCCTGGTGCTCTGTTTTCTTAGCCCTCAAGCTGCGGAATCAGCAGCCATACTTTGGAGTGAGTACAACTGCTTCTGTTTGACAACACCCCTACCCCCCTCACCCTGTGGGCGGCCCCCTAAGGGCACTTGTTGGCTCTTCTCCGACAGGTAGCGCCCCTGGTGGATGGCAGCCGAGGGACATGGAGGAGGAAGGCGCTCGAGTCTCAGACGTAAGTTGGTGTAGAAAGGTCACATGTGAGCAGGGCAGCTGAGTCTGAGAATGGAGAGATTTCTACCCCTTGCTCCTGGAGTCCTGCTGTTGGGTGGCTCAAGTGTCGGCTGGCTCTCCGGTGTTTCAATCGGTTTCCCCTCTCTTGTTGCTGGGCAATGGAGGTTTGCAAAGTCTCCCATGGCGTTTGGGTCATGAGTTCACATCCAGTGTGTCCCCACCATCCTTGCTCCCCTTTTCTAAGGGGGAACTTCAGAAGAGCTTGGCTTTCTTCTTCATATCGTTGCGTCGCCAGAGAGGCAGCCTGTCAAACTCCTGGATGGACATCCCAAAGACGTCCCGGAACACCTCGGGGGCTAAGTGGCGCTGCAAGAAGGGAGAGAAGCAGGGTCATTGCTGATGGCCACACGCACACCGGGCAGCAGCTGTCCAGTGTAGGCGGGATCTTTTCCACGAGCAAGGGGGGATGACTAGGGAGCAGTTGACCTCCAGCCCTGAGGCTTGCTTGGTTCCAGGCCCTGAACCCTGGGCTCCTTACCTGGTCAGGTGTCCTCCCACTAGATCACAGAGCTGGCGGAGAAGTAATCAGGACCCCAATAAGGAGAACCGATCAGGATGACGACCCCACCCGCTGCCCCCTTGCCACCGAGTTGGTTTCCAGGACTCCGCCAGGAGCAAGGGGTAGAAATCTCTCCGTTCTCAGACTCAGCTGCCCTGCTCAAACCTGTGGCGATGCTGCAGGCTGTGGGAGAACGGAGTCCTGGGGCGGGTGGGTAGGGGGCGAGGCATGTTCTGGCTGGAATCACCACTAGGCCTTTCTTCTTCGGCATCATTGAGTGGGTTTGAACCGCCAACTTCTCAGCGAGTTGCAGAGTATCAATGGTCTTTGAACCACCTGGTGGGAAGGCCCCCAACTCAAAGCACACTCGCCACCACGGAGTCGATTCTGACTCACAGCGACTCTCTAGCAGTGGTTCTCAACCTTCCTCATGCCACGACCCTTTATACAGTTCCTCATGTTGTGGTGACCCCCCAACCATAAAATTATTTACATTGCTACTTCATAAGTATAATTTTGCTACTCTTATGAGTCGGGTGACCCTTGTGAAAGGGTCGCCCCTCACCCCCAGAGGGGTCGGGACCCACAGGTTGAGAACCGCTACGCTAGAGGGTTTCTGAGACTATCAATCTTTACTGGAGCCTCACTTTTCTCCCCCAGAGTGGCTGGTGGAATTGAACCATCGACCTGTAGTTAGCAGCCCAATGCCTAATCCACAGCAATGACCAGGGCTCCTAGTGAGGAGGACAGGAAGTGATGCAACATTCTGGAAGTGGCTACTTCTGGTCCTTGGAAGCTACAGGAAGCCAAGGCAGCTGGAAAGCTTCAGGCCTGGGGCATCCACCCCCACCCCCAAGAGCATTCCCTGGGGGTACGGGAAGCTTCATTTCTTTTGTCGGACTTAGCTCTTATACTTGGTCAGGAAAACTAATCATGCTTTAAGAGGCTGGCAGTCAGAGTTTCTCTTAATTAAAATCATTCGGGTGGAAATAAACAAAGAGCAGTCATCCATGGCTAAGGAGATCTTAGGCATGTGGACCCAGATAACCCTTCCACAAGGAATGTGGACAGGGTCCAGAGATATTCAGCCAGTGAAAACCCTATTGCCTCGGTAGAGTCCCCTCCTGACAGGGACCTAGGGACACCTGCCAGGGATCAGAACGCCCATTTTCTCCTCTGTAGCCATAATTGTGGCAACCTGGGATTCCTAGAGAAAATGACTATGAGCCATGCTTCGGGTCATCTCTATGTAAATTTGGGTCTGCTGGGCTGCTGATTTCAAGGTCAGCAGTTTGAAACCATCATCTGCCCCCGGGGCAAAAAGAGAAGGCCTCTAATCTTATAAAGATGACTCACTGCCAGAGAGTATATGATGACTCACAGGGACCCTATAGGAGTTTCGGAGAATGTAACTCTTTACAGGCATAGAGAGCCCGGCCCAGTTTTCCTCCCGAGGGGAGATGGGTGGCTTCAAACTTTGGACCTTGAGGATCACAGCCCAATGTGTAACCACTATGCCACGAAGGCCCCCCATCAAGGCTTACACTTGAAGTCTTACAGCCTCAGAAACCTGCGGCACTGAGTTCCGTTCAAAGTGCTCAGGGCCGCCTCAGGATCAGCGGATTCTTTTAATCCCATTGCATTCTGCTCTCTCTGCCCAGATCAAAAGTCCCATAGAAGAAGGCTGGGAGTGCAAGCGCGACAGGGAATTAATGGATGAGGATGAGGGGGTGATGTTACCTCCAGCCTGGTCCTGTCCACCTCTCGTAGGGTTTTGTTGCGCCCCCTGCTGGTCACCATGAGCATTTCGTATGGAAATATCTGAGGAAGAAAAGACCATCATCTCTTCTGGGACCAGCCTGTTCCTTTGATGCACAGAATCCACTGTAGCCCAGGACAGACCTTCTGGGAGATTCTCCCAGGGCAGGGGAGCCGTGGGCGAGCCTCCCTCAGGGACCCTGCTGCCTCCCCACACAAGCCTCTCTGTGCCCTTAGAGAGTTGTGTGGCTGAGACAACAGCAAAGAAGGCAGGGATCCCAAGAGAAGTGATTACTCGGCCGTCCTGATCCTGGGACGGACGTCGGGGACAAACATTAGAACAGCAGACTGCCCGAGGGAAGCCAGCCTCTGAGAGGCAGCTGTCCTCTGGTCCTGCCCACTGGAAATGAACGCGGAGAAGAGGCAACAGAGAAGCCAAACTGCTGCCAGGGTTCCCAGAGGTTGGCAAGAGGTGGGAAAGGGAGCTTTGGCTTCCGGGGCACAGTCTCTGTTAAATTTGAAACACACAACACTTCTCTACGTCCTTGACCCTCCACCCCCACCCCTGCCCCACTTCTATGATCTCAATCCTACCTCGCAAATCCAGCTGGTCCAGTGCACATACATTGGTATAGACAAGAGTTTCCAATATACGGAATTCAGGATAGATAACCCCCTCCGAAACAGTAATGGGAGTAACAACTTCAGGAGGGTGGGGAAGGGGAGAGAAAGGGGAGAGGGGGAACTGATAGCAATGATGGTGAAATAACCCCCCTCAAGGGGGATGAATGCCAGGATAGCAGGTGAAGGGATAGAAGGGGTAGTGTAAGATATGTATACATAACAATACATAATTGTGGTAGTTACATAATCTGGTGTCCATTTGGAACTTGAGAGGATTAAGAGTGAATGAGGTGGAGTCTAGTCTGTCAATCGGGTCATAGCCAATGAGGCTTCTGTGTGGGCATGGCTTTCTCCTGAGGATTCTGGGAACTCCTGTCTTCTTCCATGGATGTGGGAGACACTTTCTTTCTCTGCTGACTCCCGGAGAGACACTCTACTGACAAGACACATGGAATGACCTACCCCATTTCCCCGAAAATAAGACAGTGTCTTATATTAAGTTTTGCTCCCAAAGATGCGCTAGGTCTTATTTTCAGGGGATGTCTTATTTTTCCATGAAGAAGAATACAGTACACATTTATTGTTTATTGTTTTATTAAAAGAGACCTCGCACTTCCTGTCTGCTCCGGCTGCGCGGCGACCAACAGTGAGCTCAATGGCGGTGCCCACCGCTACAGTCCAGAGTCCAGAGTTATGGTAGCTTCAGGGGGCCTTATTTTGGGGTGGTTTTATTTTCGGGTGGATGCCTTATATTTCATTGAGAGGCAAAACTGTAAGTAGGTCTTATTTTCGGGAGATGTCTTACTTTGGGGGAAACAGGGTAGAACCTGGGAGCTGGGGTAGCCACATGGAGACCCCTGCCAGTGCTAGATGCTTACAACATCACTGGATTCACAAGACTTCCCACCCACTGGCCTGTGATCTTCCTGCATTCAGCCCCATTGCATGTGCTTTGTGAGTCTGAAGAGGACTTTATAGACTGGGCATATGGGCTAATATCGGATTTATGGACTTGATCTGGACTACACTGGGATGTTTTCTCAATATTCAATTGCTCTTGAATATAAACCTCTTTCTTATTCACATATGAGAGTCTCCCTGGATTTGCTTCTCTAGTCTACACCGACAAACACAATAATATACTAAGGGTTCTTGAGGATGGCAGGCTGTGGGAGGGAAGGGGGAAAAAGAGGAACTGATAGCAAGGGGCTCAAGAAGTAAGGTAAAGTTTTGAAACTACTGTGGATGACAATATTTGTACCTATCTGCTTAATAGAATGGATGTGCGGACTGTTATCATATATGTAAGAGCCCCCAATAAAATGACTTATTAGTAATAAGGAAAAAGAAAAAGACAGGGTGATGACTGTTCAGTAATTTAGTGGACGTGCTGGTGTTGCTGTGGTACACACACCATGAACACTGTCCCATTGCAGCTACTTGCTAAACATGACAAAAACGGTTAAGATGGTAAGTGGTTTGTTACAGCTATGAGAGAAAGAGAAAGAGCTAGAGAGGTGGGAGTGGGGGGGTGGGGAGGAATAACAGGTCCCAATGTCTTTCACATGCTGCTGCTATCTGGCAGGATACTTTTGCACAACAAACTCATTGTAGGATTGCCTCGTGAGTCTTGCAGCGAGGGAGCCTCTAGAGCAGCGTCCCTGGGCTGCTATACGGACACAGCACAAGCCTGTGGCACCTCTGGAGGCTCGGGGTCCTCTGGAGCTCTGCCTGGGAGCCTAGGACTGAGGTGGTTCCTTGCACGCAAGACGTTCCATCTGAAACTGGACCACAGTCCCCTAGCTGGAGCACTCGGCCTCCCGGCTCATGGCCGGGACCGAGCAATGCCATGGTCACAGGGAGAGGTGTGCGGGCATTTCTCTGCACACAGAGCCCCAAGGGTGAGCTCAACCTGCTGGCACAATGTGGCAAGACTGGGGGAATGGCAGGATGCTCTGTCCCATGGCTTCACTGTTCCAGCGGGCACACCCTCTGAGAAGCTAGGAAACCAGGACCTGTAGGAGGCGCCGTGCTGGCTCATCACCCGGCATCAGAGGCAGCAATAGAAGACCTGCACTTACCTTTGGTTCCAGCATGTTGGGCATAGACACTCCCCGGTCCATCCGCATCCCGGGCATCATGTGGCCGTCCGGGAGGGTCTACAATAGGAATACGGCATCAGGGGGACTCCAGAGCCACTCAGAAACCTGAGAAGGGGGCTCTATGGTCTCCCAAGTGTCCCAAATCAGGTCTCTAATCCTCCCCACCACTTCCTAGATGCACCATCTTGATTCCCATGCATTTTCCAAAACAAGAGTCTTGCTGAGTAAGGGGGGAGCACTGCTTCATACTAAGGTGGGGAGAGACCCTGGTTCAGGAGCCAGTCACTCCTTGCTGGCTGTGGGCTTCTTGTATGGAAGTATCTGGAAGATCCCAAACAAACTAAAAAAGATGGCCAGGTCTACTGTTCAAACGGTTTTGTCTTATGCTTCTTCTCTTCAGTCTCCATCACCCCCTGAAAGAGGTTCGGGTTCTAGGAAGGAAGCGCTGGTACTTGGGCAGACTGTCCGTTCCCCTTGTTTGATACATGAACTTCTCCTCATTTGGGACCAGACAAGGGGGAGGAGGACGGAGTGTGCCGAGTGGTCGGAATGAAAAGGGGGGAAAAAAACAGAACCAACCACAAGGCTGGTCTACTTCTAGTCCACCAATGACTCCCCAAGGTCAAAGTGGAAGTTGTCCACCATCTGGCTTGGTTCATGCCATTCCCAAGGCCTACAGGGGCAGCCTCAGCCCAGCCCCAGGCCTGCCTGCTCCTCCCTGCTGGGGACACAGGATGGCCCACACGCCTCCACCCCAATCGGCATCTTCTGCAGAGAAACCCTTCCCCAGAGCAGCAGGCCTGGTTGGAGGAGGGCCTTCCTGCTGGCGTGGCCAGCGTGAGGAAGGCCGAGGGTCCCGTACCTGGAAGTCTGGAAAGGAGAAGAGAGGAGGAGGTCAGGCGAGAAAGCTGTGGGAACCCTAACAGAAACCCTTGCTTTATTTGCAACTTCCAAAATGCTCCCCCCGTGAATCATGTCTAGTCGTGAAGGGAGGATGCAGCCAGCATCAGTCGACCATCTGGCCGCCGAGCCTTACCTCGGACTCCACCACTGACGTCCCCATAGCTGTTATATTGTGCAAAGTCCGTGGAGACAGGCTGCAACGGGGAAAAGGCATGATCAGAAAGTCTTCTCAACAAGCATCTTGGGGTAGGAGAGAGGGAGTGGGGCTTAGTAAATCCTCAGCGTTCTTTGCTGTTGATAATCCTTTCCTTTCCTAAGGGCCCTGACAGAAGTCCTGGTGGTGTAGTGGTTATGTGGTGGGCTGCTAACTGCAAGGTAAGTAGTTCAAAACCACCAGCTGCTCCAAGGGAGAAAGATGAGGCTATCTATGCCCCAAGGGAGAAAGATGAGACAGGGGCAATTGTACCCTGTCCTATAGGGTCACTATGAGTCAGAATTGGCTTGGTGGCAGTGAGTTTTTGTAAGGCGCCCTGGTGGCACAGGGGTTAAGTGTGCAGCTGCTAGATGCGAGGTTGGTGGTTTGAACCCACCCCCGCCTCCTCGAGAGAAAGATGTGTTCATCTGCTTCTGGAAAGGTGACAGCCTAGCAAGCCCCTGTCCTGTAGATTCACTGTGCACTGGAGTCTACTCGTCAGTGCCCAATGTCAATGGCAGTTCCTTTACCGCTCGATCAGATCTCTTGGTCTTTTGTAGAACATCTAATGCCAGCGAACGGAGCAAGTATCTCCTGCTGCTAGTTTTCCTTTAAAGCCCCATTGCATTTGTGTACCTGGTTGTTGTGGGGAGGATATTAACAGATGTCTCTATTTCTCTTACAGCAGAGAGAATGGACTCAAGTCATTCCTTTTGATTTGAGTGTAATTGCCTCCACTCTACAACCATTTGATCTAGCCTTACCAGGGCGATTGTAGTCTTCTTTGCTGTGTAACCATTTGATCTACTTCTTCCTATAGGCTCACCCAGGCGTCTTTTGTCTACAGGCAATGGCTCTGCCTCTCAACGGACATCTTTGATCTGGCTCATCACCCAGTGAGAACCGCGAGGAGGAGGGGCTGATGGTCATTTTCATTAGATTCCCACATTGAGATCAAGGGTCTGACACGGTCGGTCGGACACTAGGCCAGCGCTTGAAACAGGACTGTGGTGAGGATCCGCATGGTCGGTGGGTTGGGGGTCAGAGGACTCTTACCCGGTGAAGCCCGTTTTTGCCGTAGCCTGGGAGGGACGCGGTTTTGGAGGATGGACCATGTGTAGCTGCAAGAAAAGGGAAGAGACCAAAGGTTTGGAAACAGCAGGTCGCTCCTCCGATGGGGATTTGCCCTGAAGAATGCAAGTTCTCACTTGATACGGTAAAGGGTACGGCGCAGGCTCAAGTCTTCCCCACACATCGCCATCTTTGTGCGGTACCTTGAATGGGTGGTGGGTAACATCACTAAGGAGCGGTGGGGACAGAAGGATGGGCACCTTCGGGTAGGTCTGAAGCTTCCTGGAGATTTTGGAAGGATCTAAGTGCTCGGTGTGCTGGATCCTGTGACTCCCCGTGACAAGCCTGGTGTCACGGCAACTGCCTTCGTTTGGCAGAAGAGGAAATGGGGAAAGGGGGTTCCGCCTTTTGCCCAAGGTCATTAATTCTCAGCTTAAGACTATGAACCCAGCCGTTGAACATCAGCCGTGTCAACGATCAACATCTAGTGGCCAGACACGGTTGGACCTCTTGGGAAAAGGTATCACACCTATCAAGTGCCCGGATGCTTCTGAGACAGCTAGACTTTGAAAGGCGGGTAGAGGATGCTTTTCAGAAGCGAAGATGGTGAGATTTCATCTCCCATCCTTTGGACATATTATCAGGAGGGACCAGTCATGGAAAAGGACATCGTGCTTGGTAAAGTACCGGCCCAGTGGAAAAAGACAGATGGCCTGCAAGGAGATAGATGGACATGGTGCCTGCAGCAATGGGCTGACATATAACAGACACCATGAGGATGGCACCAGACCGGGCAGTAGTCCATTCTGTTGGTCTTAGGGTGGTTGTAAGAACCTACTCGATGGCACCACTACCACCATCCCCACTCGGCATCCTTGGGCCTGATAATTAACCTTGTCTCAAGTCTTGCTCCACACCTGTACAGAACAGACTCCCAGAAGGAGCTATACAGATGAACTCTGAAGATTAGCCTACCCAGGAGAAGGAGTTGGGCCTTCTAGGTCAACGCTGTGGGCTCTAAGGGTTCCTGGACTCCTCAAGTCCTACCCTTGCTAGTTATTAGTTGTGTGACATCGAAGATGTTACTTAAACCTCCACTTCCAAAAAAGGAGCTATAGCCTCTTCTTCTGGTATGCTGAAAGATTAAACACTCTTTAGCAGGGGAATCTCCGTGGAGTCAAAAGTTGAAAGGCAACCTTCGGACAGAAAATGATGCTGCGGATCCAGAACATGTGCAAACAGACTGTGTGGGTCAAGAGAGAACTGGCTTATGACCAATATAAGCAGGGCGAGATACACTGATGGGTTGTTTCCACCTGGGAGGGGGTCCATAATCTCCCCCCACTAAGGGTCAAGAACACCTCCAGCAGTCCTCAGAGGCGGCACTGAACCCACCAATGAGAGGTCGCTGTGCTTAGAAAATGTCTCCCAGATGCTCTCTCTGCTCAGAATAGCGCCCCGTTCTTTGATGGCTTACCTTGGAGATACTTGCCCCCCCCCCCACGTCCCCCGTGATCAAAAATGTTGGTACTAGGGTTCCTCATCTGGCATCAAGTTTGGTATTGGTTTTTGCAGCACCCCCACCCCACCCCCTGCCCAAAGGGTGGCATTGCCCACTTTGAGAAACGCTGCACTAGGAGCTCACGCTGCCACGTGGTGGGGACAGGCTTCTCCTGGTTGCTGGGATCTGTGGAGACTCCCTGTTTCCAGCACAAGGAAATGTGCAGGTAAGGAAAACTCTCAGCCAACTTACAAGCTACCTGGATAGGAAATAGACCCTTCCCAGGCCCCCTGCCCCAACACGTGTCCTGTGGTTGCCAGCAGAAGCGGTCCTGCCTCCTCAGGGGAGGGCAACCGGGCTCCTTGCACGTGGGAGGCAGTTCTGGGAGGGGAGGGCGGCAGGTCTGCAGCTCACCTGAGTGGATGGGTGAGTCATAGCGGCTAGCCAGCGTGGCTGCTCTTTCTCGGTTCTCTCTCTCCCGTTCCATCTCTTCTTTCAGGATCAGCTGCCCCAGGCCCGAATTGAGCTAGGTGAGGGGGGCAGGGGGGGTGGGGAGAGGGAGGAGATAGAAAGCCTACAATGACTTTCCTGGAGGGGCAGCTGCCTTTTCAGAAGACCTTGCCCCAAGTTCCTAGGCCCGGAGGCCTGTGGGCCCCATGGCCTGACGTTTCCTCAGGAGGCAGGTTCGATTTTAGCCTCCAAGCCCCATGAACTGGCTGCATTTCAAAACTCTCTATCCCTAAGCCAGGCTGTCAGAAGAATAGTCTCCCTCCGTTTCCCAGCCCTAAGCCCAGCCGTGTGTGTGTGTGTGTGTGTGTGTGTGTGTGTGTGTGTTTGATATAGGCAGGGGAGGCTGGGGGTGGGAGCTTTGAGAGGATATGCCTTCATTGGTTTAAAACATGGAGAGTCCTGCGTGCTCACCGTTCAGATCTGGGGGACTACAAAAGAAGAGAGCCTACCTTCTGGGTTTCTGCGCGCGTTCGACGCGGCACAGGGGTCCTGCCATAAACACACTAAACCCCCGTTTCGGATAACTGAGGCTATGTGCACGTCACCACCTAACTAAGCATCTGGGGAAGACATCCTCCCAGGGTGTGGAGGGAGTTTACAGCGGCCTGGACCCTCCACTCCAGGAGCTAACTGGCCTCCTCGTCCAGGTCTTCTGTCAGCCCATGCTAGAGATGGGAGGGCATGAAGAGGGCTTCTCGGATGAAGTCATTTTTCCCCCGGCTCAGGACACCCACGGCTCTCCCAACCCCAAAGCCAAGCCAAGCTCACTGCCATCGAGTCAGTGCCAACTCCTAGTGACCCTACAGGACAGGGCAGAAGTGGCCCTGTCAGACTCTTTACTAGGGTTGAAAGCCCTATCTCCTACCGAGCGGTTGATGGGTTTGAACTGCTGACCTTGCCGTTAGGAGCCAAACACTAAGCCGCTAGTTCAGTGGTTCTCAACCTTCCCAATGCCTCCACCCTTTCATACAGTTCCTCATGTGGGGGTGACCCCCCAATCATAACATTATTTTTGTTGCTACTTCATCACTGTCATTTGCTACTGTTATGAATCGGGCGACCCCTGTGAAAGAGTCATCGGACCCCCAAAAGGGTTGTGACCCACAGGCTGAGAACCGCTGTGCTAGGGCTTGTTCTTAACCCCTGGGAACAAAAACCGCCCTCTCCCATCCCAAAACACCTCACTGTCAATGAGTCGATTGGAACTCTTCCTCACTCGCTAGGAGAAAGTAGAATTGCTCCTTTGGGTTTGATGGGCTGTACATATTCATGGGAACAGAAAGCCTCATTTTCTCTCCCACCCTCAGAGAGGCTGGTGGCTCGCATCCCGGTGCATGACCACTGGGCCACCAGGGCTCCTGACCCCTAGGAAAGACTAGGGGAAATGCTGAGCCCCAAGGGGCTGCCTGCAGCAGGTTGGAACTCCGGGGGAGGGAGAGGAACATGCACCATCGTGGTTCCACCTGGTCCTCAAGCACCCTTTCAGTGTGTGCACCCCCAGCACCACTTTTCACATAACTAAGGCTATGCGCCCCTCTGCCTTCTTCTCCAACCCCCAAGGGTCTATGTCCCCTTCAGTCTTTAGCCTCACGGTGGCTTCTCTGGGACCCTTTGCGTCTGGTCCCATTGTGGTTAGCCGGCACCCACGCTGTCACCTGTGGGGCAGCAAGGGCCTGGAGGATTGGGGCTCCCTCTTACTCATCTTGGGGACTTGCACACAGCAGTCATTCAGCAAACAACACAGCCTGGGGGTGCTGGTGACAGCCACCAGCTTAGCGTGAGCACAGACCTTCATCAACTGCTCTTCTTGAAGCTGCCGGCGTCTCAGGAGCTCTTCCTCGTCTTCCTCTCGGCCACTAGATCTGCGTCTCGCGTCGGTTCCTATGTCCACAGCAAAGAGGGCGTCTCACACCGGCCCTTCCATGCGGGAATCGTAAAGGACGTGGACCAGGCCAACCGGGGCCCACTTTGTTAGGGCTGGCAGAGGCAGCGGCTCTCCTGACATTTTAAGGCAGACGACAAGAGGGTGGGGGCGGGGGGCTCTCCTCCTGCTGGATGTTTGCTGGAGAGCGTGACCAGCCAGTTCTAGGTATGAGGCTAGCTAGGAGGGTCGGGCTGTGAGACGGGCCACCCCCTTGGAAGCTGGGTGGCTTTTCTGATGGGCAGGGTCTAAGTCGTCAGAGGAACCACTGGCCAGAGCTCCAGAAGGGAGACCGACAGAGTAGTTTAGGTCCCCGGGCTGCACATCCAACCGCAGGACAGCCAGATTCATCTGCAGACCACCGCCAAGCCGCTGCTCTCTGCCCTGCGAGAGGGTCACAAAGCCTTGCTGTTTGGGGCTATTTTGCTCTTTCTGACTCTCGGGGGGCTAGTCACGAGACCCTCATCTTGTTGGTTACCCTGACGGTGGCCGTGAGCAAGCATATCTTTGGCGTGCCTCTAGAAGGATGCATCTCTAACGTTTCCTTTTTCTGAATCCCTGGGGGGGTGGGGGGGCGGGATGGTCACGAAGGAATTGTACACTGAGGGATTTAACAGCGGTTAACAGTTTTGAAGTGTTCTGGAAAAGGGGAGAGGGGCAGGGGAATGAAGAAATCTTTCTGATCGCCTCCCCCCCTCGCCCAACTCCTCCTCACATTGCTTGGGTTAAGCTGGCTCTGTGAGGAAAAAGGAAGGCTGGCTGATCTCATTAACATAAATGTCAACCCAATGGTATTCACTGTTATCATTTAGGTTCACGGGCCCCACCTTCTCAGGGCACACCCAGAGAGCTTTCAAAAAATGTCCCATTTGCCCTCCCTCATCTGCCTGGTTGGTTCTCCATCTGCCATGTTCGCCTGCCTCGTTTTCACTGAGCAGTGTGACCAAATTGGGACCCTCTGGGCCCGAAGACCTTCCTCAAAGGCAAGGATTGGTGGGGCAGAGCTCACCACGGGCTCCCTTCTGAAAGCCATAAACGTCAACCTGAGTGCCCTCTCCGTAGCCTGCACAAACACCCGCCCGCAGGCACAACTTTGCAAGGATGAGCTAAGTCTCAAGTCAGCGTGAGCTAGAGCCTGCCTGTCAACCATGAACATGAACAGAGGGGGTGGTTTACCTTCCTTGCGTGTCTACAAATGTCAGTTGCCTCTGAAACTCTTGTGCTGCTTATAAAGTGACCCTGAGAATAACGTGTGTGTGTGTGTGTGTGTGTGTGTGTGTGTTCATTTGGAAAATTGAAGGTCTTTTAGGTTGCCCACAAAGATGTGACGAGACAGCCTTCTCTGTAAGGCTGACTCAACGGTGACATTTGTCAATACCTCTTCTTTTTTTTTAGGCCAAGTGATGTCCTATGGACAAGACCGCGGAGAGGACACAGACATAGTTTTAAAGCACAGATCGGTGATGCCAAGCAAACAATGAGACAGCTCAAGGGTGACACAGGAGCACAGAACTCATGGAAAGGATGGATGTGAAAACCAGGTGACTTCCCCGAGTCCTGCGTCAGCGGACGTGCAGCTTGGCGCCAGCCCGCCCCAGCAGCCCAGCTCGTGATCGCTGAAGAAAGGGGGAAGCGGCTCCACATTCAGACTGGTTGTTAAGAGAAACAAACGTAGCTGAAACCCCAAAGGAGCCCGAAGTAAGCTTAACCGCAAGCAGCCCGCTTGCAAGGGCACGCACAGTGGACCTCGTGAGCCGGAGCCCTGCTCTGGCTGAGGCTTTCACCCAAATGTGCGAGTGCGAGTGCAAGTTCGAGTGAGTTAGTGGGTCTGCACCCTGACGTCGGGAGGGACCCCTGCAAAGCCGTGCGTGAGGCATTGGATCTGTGTCTCAGGGGTGGGGGTGGGGGGTGCTAGAGAAAGGCCTGGGTGGTTGGGTCTTGGCAACAGTTAAGCATTCTGCACCCAAATCAGTATCACATTGGGCTGTGTCCCCACCACTACGCTACCTCTCCACTCTTAGCACAGGGCCCACTTTCTTGCATCTATACTTTTGAAAGCGCTACTTGGAGGGAGACACGCCACACCCCACCCCAGAAATCTGTCTGTTTTGACTTAGCTCCAATGATTGCATACCTACGGCGGCAAGTGAGGGGGGACCAGGCCAGTGGTCCGTCTCAATCTTTGGAATTTCGTTGGGGTCTGGAGCCTGGGCTGCTGGGAACTTGGAAAACTTGATGATGTCTTCTGAAGACTTGCTCTGGGCTGCCAGGGCAGCTGCATCTAGGCGGGAATCGGGGGAGCTCAGTGCAGGCCTGTAAGGCAAACGTGGGCCAGCCCCACCTCGCTGGGTGGCTGCGGCTCTTCTCTGGCAGCGTTCTCAATCCTGGACGGCTCTGTGGGCCACCATTACCCATGGCCCAGTTGTTCAGTGGCCCTAATGATGGCTGGGTCCCTTACTTGTAGGCAGCAGCAAAGGCCCATGTTCACACCTGTTCTAGATTGGAAAACGCTTGCTCCCTGGCTCTGGTGCCCAAATCTAGCAAGGTGAGATTGCTCAAACTCACTGCCATGAAATAAAATGCCACAGTCCCTTCCTCAGTTGTCTTGGCTGCCTTTAAACGAATGGTTCAGGAGCCACACATGACAGGTGCCTCACTGTCTTAGGTGGGTGCGGTTATGGGACAATGTCACGTTACAGAAAGTTCCGCTGGCTAAGTAGTCTTCCAGAGAAATGAGACGCTAGAATTTAGCATTTAGAACAGTGGTTCTCAACCTGTGGGTCGCGACCCCTTTGGGGTGGTCTAATGACCCTTTCACAGGGGTCCCTAAGACCATCGGAAAACACATTATGATTTACATTATGATTCATAACAGTAGCAAAATGACAGTTATGAAGTAGCAATGAAATAATTTTATGGTTGGGGGTCGCTACAACATAAGGAACTGTATTAAAGGGTTGTGGTATTAGGAAGGTCGAGAACCACTGATTTAGAATAACAAGGGCTAACTTAAATGCGTTCATTATTAGAGGGCTGGCTGGCCTTACAGCCGTGGGTCAGAAGCCACCAATCTAGTGGCCCTGTTCCTTCTGGCGTTCAGATGCCCTTGCGTCTTTGGAGGGCTGGGGATGGGAAAACACGTCAACTTGCAGGGATTTACTCTAGCCCTGTGACCGACTATTCTGCTCAAGGATCTGCACAGAAAACTGAACCACCCACTGGAAACCAGTAGGAGCCGGCTGTGAGCCGTTGCTGGCTACCAGAGTCCTTAAGGGCTATACCTTGAGTGGGGGGAGGGAGGTCATCTCACTGGCTTGGAACCCAGATCTGACCACAGAAAACCAAACAGGCGCTAACACCAGACAGGCGCCATGTCTCCCCCCTCCCCCTCCAGTGGGTGGGTTCTGGCTGCAAACCTCTCTGTTAGCTTCCTGGTCCTTACCCACTGAGCTCATCCTGACCCACAGCAGGTTACATGATCAGTTCCTGATTTCCCATGGGCTCGGCAAAGGGGACTCACATGCTAACCAAACATGTAACACTGTTCCCTGGGGGCTCAGACATTTCCACAGTTCCTTTTTTTTAAAATTCTGGAAACAACTTTCTGATGCTTTAGCTGTAACTCGGACTTCCTGTCAGTGGTTGCCAGGGCCTCTGTCAACTCCCCTGAATTGTTCCAGGTTAAGCCTCGGGCGGGTCCAGCGCAGGACCTCTGGAAACTTTAATCTCCAGAGAAAATGCACCCGTCCGGAAGAGAACGCATGCTCCGTGTCAGCTTCTTACAGAAGGAGAAGTTCCGCAGTTGTGAAAACGTGAGGCTTCATTTAAATCTAGCATTTCCCGAATGCACCTGAGCACAGATACGTAGATCTATCTTTTTCATCTTTAAGAAAAGCATTCGATTTCTGGTGCATGAAATGGAATTCTTCTGCAGAACATCTTTCAGGGAAGCATGACTTCATTCTGTTCTAACAGGCCCAGAGTAAGGACACAATGATGCACTTCACAAACCACTGCCCAATAAGCCCCGCAAGTAGAAAACCTAATGTCCTCCATCCTTCTGAAATCTCAATGACCTCACCTTTCTCATTTTTAAATTGTTTGGGGGGGGGGGGTGCAGAAAGATAGAGCCTAAAGATTTTTTCATTAAAAAAAAAAAGAGTCTTTAAACTGATAAACCAAAAACTCTGGGAAATGTATCCTTAAATTAAAAGAAAGAAAAGCAAGATTTCCAACAATACTTACGCATTAGAATTGGTGAAGTCAGTAGTTAGTTAGACATTTACGTGTTAATGAGTGGGTGGGGAGACATTAAACCATAAAAAAAAATAAATAAGAAGAATGTTAACAAACTTAATGAGCAAGCATATGGTGCAATAAAACTTAAAAAAAAGGGGGGGAAAAGATAGTTCTAGAACCATGACAGTACACACCTTTCTCGATTTCTCCCTTGAATTTTGGCCTAAAATGTTTTTCCTTGAATAGTCTCCCCTTGATTTACTTTTTATGTCCTTAAGGACTAATTAACATCAACTGGGCTCCAGAGCAGCCTTCAAGTTTCCAGGTACGATTTGTGCATTGTTTTCTGTGACCCCCACCCCCAGTGAAGAAGGCTCAGTTTTTGCTCTCTGTCAATTGAATGAGGCTCTGTGGGGCAGACTGAACCCCTGGGGAGACCCAGTGCTGCTGCAGAAAATGTGATTTACAGAAGGAGATGCCACTGGCTTCAAATTTCTGCATTCAAAGAGAAAGAAGGTACAAATCGGTATAACGTCTGGTTTTCACAGGCAGAGTGTGCCTGTCTGTAATGTCACAGAGCCATGGTGGCAAAGAGCTGTGACCTGGGCCAGGACTCCTAACCACTCCCATGCAGGATGCAGAAGGCTCCAAGCCGCAAAGGGAAAATGGGCAGTCAGATGGCCAACTTTTACGGAGCTAGTCGCCAGAGAAAGTTTCTAGGGCCCTGGATTCTGCTGGTTTTAGCTGGTGAGACTAACTGTACCTTCTTCACCATGGTGACGGAGCCTGGCAGGCTAGTTCATGGCAAAAACAACAACGAAAAAAGCCTTGTTAGGATGGTTGCAATGTGTTAGGGGAGCAGCACCTCTCTTTTTCTGCGAAAATAATGACCCGTGGCCCCAGGAGCTCAGAAGTGGGCAAGAAGTCACCCACCTAAGTGACCTGTCTGTGTTCCATCCAGAAAAGTCAGTTTTCCGACACTTGCACTGTCACCAAATACCAAACCCACGGCTGCAGCCTTGAGTCGATGCCACTCCTCGGGACCCCACCCCGCAGGGCAGAGTAGAACTGCTTGCTCTGGGGTTTCCAAGGCGTGAACCTCTACAGGAGCAGCCCCATCCATGGCCCTCCTTCAGAGTGGCTGGTGCTGTCCACCTGCTGACCTTTAATGGTTAGCAGCTGAGCACTTAACCGCAGTGCACCCGGCGCCAATAAAAGCAAGCATCCAGCTCCCCTGCTGGTTTCCCAAAAGTGGTGGTAGTAGGGGCTGGGGTGGAGTTGGGGGTGGGGTTGGGGGATGGGGGTAGGGGTGGGGGCGAGGTCAAGCCTTTCAGAGGCCAGCAAAGAGGAGGCGGTCAGAGGTCTGGGCTAGGGGAATCTTGGGGTGGAGGGGGGTGGGTTTTACCATGCTGTTTGTAGATGGGTGGCTTTCGGTAAATGTTGATCCCTTGATCTGTGGAAATGAAAAGCAAAGGTGTGTGGTTATGAGAACCAGTTCAGCTGTGGGGAGGGGACAGCAAAGACACCCCAAACAAAGACAGACATGACAGATCCACCAAGGGCCGAACCCGACGGCAGGCAGGCCCTTGGACAGAAATCACCCAGAAGGAAACGTTTGTATTACAAAGCTCGAGCTTTTCGGAAGGAAAAAAAAAATGTTACTGATACGAGCAGATTACCGCAGACACGTGAGATGGAAGCCTTTGTAATACATCTTGGCATCCAGAGAGATGCCACTGACCCTGGGCCATTGACTCAGAGACACACTTCCTTCCCAGGAAGGAATGCAAGCACGACAGGATTCCGATGGCCAGGAAGGCATGGTCAGTGGGGGGACAAAGCCCCAAAGCACTACTGTCTAGAAATTGAGCCCTTGGTAGCTAACTGCCAGGGCTTCAATCTATTTCGCAATTCATGGGGCGGGGTGGGGGGAGGGGTGGAAAGCACTGTAGTAAAATGGAGAGTGCGGGTTTTTTTTTTTAAACACAGAAACACTTGTTTTTTCATGCGCAGGCTAGCCCAATACGCAGGCGAGATGCCCCCCAAAATCCTAATTTGTGCAGGCCAAATTAAGAGAAAAAAAAAAAGTAGACTAGAAAGAAAACGAGATGCTAAATCAGATTCACAGACTCCTCCTCAACCCAATTGGACTATGTCCCCGTGTATTTCAAAGACTCAGGGCACTTCAAGAGGCTCTGGCCCGCCATGAGGAGACCATGTACAATGGGGACTGTAGGTCGGTGTATCGGGGAAGGTAGGAAACAAAACAAAACCACCCCACAAATACAAAACAGTGGTTTTTGCAAGGTTCAATGAAACCTTTGTTGTTGTTTTAAAAGTAGTAAGGCAGTTCCAAAGCAGAGGAAACTCATTGAGCTTCCCTCGGCTTCTATAGATTACGTTAAGAACGCAAAAAAATAAAGAAAAGGAAGGTAAAACCCCACTGATTGCAAACATGTATCCTGACACGAACATAATGGGCGATTGATTGTACCATGTTCAGAAGCTCAAAGATGCCAAACAATGTGTTTCTAACAGGAAAACAGGATCGTGACCCCCCCAGGGGGCTTTCTCAGTTTTCACACATGGAGCGGACGGGAGACATTAAGGCATCGGATGGGGTTTGGGTTTTTTTCCAGTTCCCCAGTGAGAAAGTGCAGTTGCCATGGGGACAGCAAATGCTCGCAACTATGTGGCTACAGTTGTGAAGCTTGCGACATGGAGCCTAAATTGCAAGATACCTTTGGGGGCCAGGCAGGTGGTGAATCAGAGGCACACTGCAGGAGGACTGGCCCAACTGACCCACCGCTGCTACATCTCTCTGGGAGCAGGCATCCCAGGAGAGAAGCCCAGGCCACACTGTGGTCCGAGCTTCACAGAGAGAAGACCAGAGCAGAAAGCCAGTGTGGCACCACCATGGGGCACACCACCATGGGGCCTGAGACAGCATGAGAGTGTCGAATGAAAAATTCAGGATACACAGGACAACTCAACCCCCTTTCTTTTGCTTCCTGCCTCCCAACCCCCGCCTCACACCCTCTTCCCCAAGTGAACACGAGAAAGTTTAAATTTTCCATGTGATCCTGGCTTTTCACAGACAAACTCTTTGGAAAGGCCCCTCCGGGTCAGATCCTGCAATTTAGGGTTTGTCAACAAGGTGCACCCCGACCCGGAAGAGCATGAGAGATGGAGACGAGACAGGGTGACAACGGCTACATTCTACACTGTGACAGGACACCAAGACACAGCCCATGTCAGCTCCTACCTGGAACATGGAAATGTTTAGGGGCCTGAGCGAAAGTTGGCGTTAGAGGGCGACTGTCTGGCCGGTAAGGGAGAGGGGAGTTCCGGCCGCTGGGCGGCTCATTGCCTCCAAGGAGAAGAATGGAGAAAACAAAATGAGAGGGGGGAGCAAGACAGGGGGGGTAGGCAAGCACAGTCAGAACCCCAAACCACACGTCAGAGGAGGAGGAGGAGCCTGGCCGGCAAGGAGAATCCAGAGAAACAAACAAACATTCCATTCATCCCGTTGGCTCACAGAGGTGACAGGGGGGTGAGTTTCCCAGAGAGACTGGCGGTCAGGTGGAACCAGGTTAGAAGCAGGAGCGGGTCAGATAGGACATTCCAACGGCATGCAGTTGGGGCTGTGTGCTAGCAGCAAACCAATCTGATGGGAAGCATCCTAAGAGGCACGGAAAGTCCCCTGCTAATGCTTCAGGATCGTCTGTCAAAGGGTTAAGTCACTGCAAGCAAAGGGGTGGGCTAGGCAAACCCAATACAATCCCTATGGTGGTGGCAGGCAGCTGGATGGCACTTCTGAGGAAGGAAGGCTAAATCCAGGAGCCTGGGGCTTAGCGGGGGGCGGGGGGGGCACCCAGTCCTTGCCCCAGTAATACAAAACGGCGTTGGTGCAGTGTGTTTCTGATTTCCTTACTTTGAAATACATAGGGCTGAACCACTTCGGTGTCTCTCCATTGCACTCTTAGAAATGAAGTCCCACCAGGCCCCAACACAGCTCCGTCAAGGACACTCCCTGCACAGCCAGCAGGGCCGGGCACTGAACTGCTGTGGAGGGCAAGCGGATGAATGGGACCCCCTGCTTGCTCTCAAGGGGCACAGAGTCCACCTAAGGAGACCGACGGTAGGAAATCAACTAGCCTAAGGTGATCAGATTTAAAGCGGGACACCGTTGACGGGGGGAGGGTGGGTGTCTTGATGAAAAGTTTGGTCTATATGGACCAAATAGACCGTTCCCTAGCGTGTCGTGCATTCTTTCCAAAATTCAGGACTTTTTAAAAATGCCAAAAATCAGGGCTGTCCCACCAAAAGCTGGACATCTGGTCCCCTTAAAGCCTGCAGTGTGACTGGTTACGCAGAGGTACGCGAAGCACGTTGTGCAGTTTGGAGGACAGAGCAATTCATTCTGCAGGAGGGCCCCGAGGAGGCGGAGTCTTGCGTCGAGCACGAAAGAACACAGAGCAATTCATTCTGCAGGAGAGCTCCGAGGAGGCGGAGTCTTGCGTCGAGCACGAAGGAACATGCTTGCCAGGTCAGTGGGTGGGCAGAGCGGTGGTGGAAGGCGGTATTTCGCAGGGCTGGAGAATCGCGAGGGAGTCCTAGCAGTGCAGTGGGTTAAACACTGGACTGCTAAGCACCAGATTGGCAGTTCAAACCCACCACCTGCTCCTGAAGAGAAAGAGGAGGCGGACTGCTCCTGTAAAGACGTGCAGTTTCACAAACCCTACGGAGCAGTTCTATTCTGTGCTCTGGGCTGTCTGGGAGCCAGACGGGGTCAGTGGCAGTGGGTTTGGACTTGGTCTGGAGAATCATTAGAAACGAGGGATGGCAGGGCCTTGATGTACAGCTGGATGGGCCGCTGTGGATGGACTATACTACGTGGTGCGTGGAGAAGATAATGGGGAGGAGGCTGACCAGGAGAGCTGGGGCTTGACAACAAAAGCCCTCAGAGCCACCACAGCCACCAGCACCCTGTCCCCAGCAGAACTGCAGGGACAGCCCGGACCTTCTGCACAACTCAACAAGATCAGCTCCCACCCCAAATGTCCTCCTGCCTCACGTCTGAGCAGACAGCTAGTCTCAGGAAAACACAGGGATTTCAATTCCCGGCCACCCTACGGGGCAGACTAGAACTACCCCATGTGTGTTTCCAGGGCTGTGAATCCTTAGGGGTACAGAGAGCCTCATCTTTCTCCCTGGGAGCTGTGGGTAAATTCAAACTGCTGGCCTTGTGGGTATAGTAACAGACTAATTCATAAGCCACTATGCCACCAGGGATTCTCAGATAGCGATGCCTTCTGAAAGCTGTGACGTCCTGCTTCAAACTGTGGATTTAAAAAAGAGCTCTCAGTTTTAATCCCTCTTCTAAAGACGAATACTTAGCTTATGGCAGACAAAATCTGCATATAAAACACAGGTAGAGGCAAGCAAGGGAAGGAAGATGGCTTACAGAAGGAGGTTGCGTTCTATTCTTTGCTGCGCTGCCTGGACTCGGCACAGGGCCTGGATGAGAAGGCGTGTTTAATAAACGGTGGTGAGTGCTGGACTGAAACAAGTCAACCAATGAGGCGTCCAGAGATTCCCCGGTCCAGTTCGGCCAGCAGCACCACAGGCACGGAATCGCCTGTCTCAGATCCGGAGTGACAGAAGCCAGGTGCCAGTCCGTATGATGGAATCACAATAGAGCCCCTACTTCATAATTTCCCCATTTGAGTCATGTGGTCCTCAATGGTTCTGGTTAACTCTCTCACTGACGGAGAAATTCTTGACCTGTAGGCACCACTCCCGGTCACACGAGAAAACTAAAAACCTAAGTCGTTCTTGCGGGCTACTCTCAAAAGATCCAGGGGGCCTGTGCCGGCTTCCTTCATGTTAGGATGCCTGGTGACGATGCTTCCAAGAATTCGTTGAAAGAAGAGCCCTTGGACATCCTTAAAAGCTTCTTTCCCTTTTCTAACTAAAACCCACTGCTACGGAACCACCGACCCACAGTGGCCCCTGTGTACAGCGTTTCAGAGACTACACATCTTCATGGGCGCTCCTAGCCTCATCTTTGTCCCAAGGAGCAGCTGGTGGGTTTGAACTGCTGACCTTCCAGTTAGCAGTCCAACGCCTGACCCACAGTAAGTGGAAAACAAAACAAAAAAAAACCCCTTCAACTCCAGTCTGCTAGAAAATCATGGGTGAAGATCTGAAAGGGTTCTTTGGGAGTGTGTGCGTGCACGCACACATGGAGCCAACTACGCAAAGGAATCTACGGGGTATTGATGAAATAGCATGCAGAGACGCTACCACCAACCCCATCACCATCATCTATAAGCTCCGAGTAAGCCACTGTTTAAAAATCATATAACAGCATATATGGCATGTCATAGTATATATACACATCCCATATACAGTCATTTTGTTCTTTTAAGTTAGTCCTCAAATTGGGCCAAGGTAAGGTGTTAGGGATCTCTGTTTTCATGGCAACAACCTGCCGGTCTATGCATCTTTACATTTCTATTTCTATATCTTTTCTTTTTTTTTTACATTTCTATTTCTTTGTCTCCACTCTTAACCCCTTCCCTATCAATCTGATAAGATTCTTACTTTTATTTAATTTCTGAGCGATCACTCACGTGCTGTCACGGGGTCTTCAGGTGCTTTGTCCTCAATCTCCTTCTGTTTGAGCCTAAGAGACTCATCCTAAGACAGCAGTGTGGAAGAGGAGGAGCACACAGCTGTGTGGGGACCTGCTGAGCCTGCTGGGCCCCAAGTCTTCACATTCCCATACCTAAATGAAGATCTCCGGGGGACCTTGATATTGGCAACATTGACAATTTGTGACAGTTTCAAGATGGGCAGTTTCTTGTCTAAAACTTCCATCGGAGTTATGATTTCCTTTAAACAAACAAAGCCTCGCTCTCAATGAGTCGATTCTGACTCACAGCGACTTATGGGCCAGTTCCTTTGAGTTTCTGAGGCTGTAAATCTTTACAGGAGCAGAGAGCCTCATCTTTCTCCTATGGAGTGGCTGGTGGGCTTGAACTGCTGTCCTGGTGGTTAGCCACCCCAAGGCATAATCCATGACACCACCAGGGTTTCTTATAGCAAATATGTATTTGCCTCATAGTATTCTCTCTGTGGCAGAGGAGGGCAAGATTTCACTCAGAGAGACTTAAATGCGTGGCCCTTCTGCTCACAAGTCTAACGGAAGCTTCACGGACACAGAATGCAATGTCGAACAGTATTTCAAACGGGAAGGAAGAGAAATTCGGTCCACACTGCACAAAGTCCAAAAGCAAAGGGAAACCATTTTTCAACTCTGTAGGCATGCTCTTGGCCAAACGGTCCAACAAGGACATTCTGGCACAGAACAGAGGGCAGAAAGACACGGGATGCAATGTCGAACAGTATTTCAAATGGGAAGGAAGAGAAATTCGGTCCACACTGCACAAAGTCCAAAAGCAAAGGGAAACCATTTTTCA